AGTATAATCAGTGGCTTTAGTGATCTGATAATGAAATCAAATCGGCCAGGTAAACCACAACCTTCAGAGGTGTTATCTGGACATCAGAGTGTAGTTAGATCCACCTGGATTAAAAATGACTATAAGAGTCACCATTACTGTATTTTGGACTAAGTAAAAATGTGGTTTTGTTTTATCCCCACGGTGTTTCTTCTCTGTCCCTTGTTTTGAGCTCAGGACCCCCTTTCCCCCCTCCTGCCTCCAATATTTCCATACTATATCTTGATGCTCTTTATAATGAGATTGCTTTAGACCAGCTGTCATTTGGAAGAAGGCCCAGCGGCCGCCTCTGATAAATGGATTACAGATGGCATCCATCCTTCGGGCCAGACTGGGCCAGTAGATAACAGAATTAGAGATAGACTCCCAACCAGAATCACTAAAAAGTTCAGGTTAACAGAGAGGAAAGTGAAAGTAAAGACAGAGACAGATGGGGGACGAAATAAAGGCATTTAAGTTTTTAGTAGACAAGGTTGGTCAGAACAACCAAGCACAAGTACATTCTTGGTAATTTCATTTGTCTAAGCAAAGTCTAACCAAAATACTCTTTGGAACTCCAAAGAAAGACTTTTTAGCTCTGCAATAACTTTCAGCTTTTCTCAGCTGCATTTTGCTGGCTATTACCAACTTTAAGTGCCGTAGAGCAGTGGTCCCCAAACTTTTTTGCACCACGGACCGGTTTATGCCCGACAATATATTCATGGACCGGCCTTTATGGTGTCGCGGATTAATACAACAAATTAAAACTAGTACCGGTACCGAAAAAAAAAGAAGATTTATTCATATTCAGGAGGAGGGCGATAACAAAATAACGCTGAAAACCTTGAAAACCATACATTTCACACCTGAGCCTCAACTCTTGCGGCCTGGTACCAAACGACTCACGGAGGGGTACTAGTCCAAGGCCCGGGGGTTGGGGACTGCTGCCGTAGAGTCCTCCTCATTTTTGAATCAGAGATGTATTTGATAACTACTCGTATACAACTCAAGTCTTAGACTCAAGCTTCAAAAATTCAGTCAATCCTTTTTCCAACAAGTTAAAACCTCTTCAACAAAAACAATCGGGTTAAACAAACAGCAAAAGGATAGAAGACCTTAAAGGGACCATCTATGAAGTTGGAAATACTACAACAATAGACAACAAGCAGCAAGTTTCTAGCCACCAAAATCATGTGCTTTCTAGTCAAACAGAGCAGACAAGAAATTATAAAGAACACACAACATGAATATCATCGTGTCTTCTGTAAAGTAAATACCATGAGTGACTGATGCGGCAAATCCACGTTCATGTGTGTTAATAAACTTACACTTCCTGGAAAATTTTTCTTCACTCTGCATCATGAAAACCCATCAGGTGGAACGCTTCTGAAGCCATCAACAATCAGAAATGGACGACAAGCTAACAGAGCAGTAGCTTCACCATTTTTGAGACAAATAAAGTTTCTCTCATCTTTTCTTTTCTTTTTAACAGCATTTATTTTATGTCACTTATCGCGCATTTTCACTCTGAAGAGCCAGATGACTATATTATATTCAGATTTAGTTTACCAGTCACATGTTAACTAGTGAAACTGACTCTTATATAGTCACTTTATTGTTATTTCCTCACATCTACCTGGACTCAAAAAAAATATTATTAAACACCGTACTGTGGATGAGATCACAGAGGCCCAACAGGTTGAACTAACAGGTAAACAGGATTTTGAACTAATCCTAATTGTTTGTACAATCATGAAAGTGATGAGCCGATAATGACGAGCTTTGATTTGACATGTTAAAACCATTAAAACGACTTGCTGGCTGGTGAGATGTGAGGCAGTATCACTTCCTGTCCAGTGTGTACCTGCTGCCTCGGTTTCTGCCCGCGTGCACAGTGTGATTGATTTTTGAAGCCTATCGATCCGCTTCCTTTGCGACCAGCAGATCTATTATAATGACATTGTATTTAAATCCTATTTGTTGGGCAAGCTGCTCCCAAACATAACCCAATAAACTAAAGAGGGGGACGGACGAGCTCCCCTCCGTGCGCGCCTCCGCTTGGCTAAATCTTCATAAAAACCAGAAATGGATTGGGATAAAAAGGCTTTCTGGCTGAAATGACATTATCCATAAAGGAAGGAATCCATTAAAAAAAGGGCAGGACGGTGTAATGCAACAACCTGTGGAGTCCATGCAGTTAAATTATGGACGTGTCATAAAAAGGAGAACAACTGAAATGTCACCGAGCATTAAAAAAAAGGCTGTAACCTTTAAGAGGTAGCTTTATTTCAATGATAATAACAAGAAATATCACCAGAATGCCTTTGCTTTTAATTGTATTTAATTATATTTAAGTAATGTTATTGAATGTACTGTGAGGACTGAGGTCAGCTTGCTTGTAATTTGACAGAACTGAAAGGGTTTTTTTTAAATTTTTAATAATGATTAATGATGGCTGATGACGGAACAGAGAAAAACCACAAAGCTGTGTCCACAGGAATAACGTCAGGACCTCATTTTAAATAAAATGTAAGAATAGTGCTTGAAAGGAAATTCACATCAGAAGAAAGAAACTGAAAAGAACTGGAAGGAAGGAAGGAAGGAAGGAAGGAAGGAAGGAAGGAAGGAGGCAAGACCTAAAAGAAGGAAAGAAGGAAAGATCCAAAGAAAGAAAGAAGGAAGAAAGG